GTAGGTTTATCCTATGGAGTATGTGAAATCACCTTTACTAATGATGATGTAATCCACATCAACGAGCACGACGCACAATTTTATACCAATTCTACAAAGGTCAAGAAAATAGAATCCTATAATCAAATCTCAAATAGGTTTGTACTCAATATTACTATGTACGGGTATCAACCAAATTGTGGTTGGTCATTTGACCTAAAAGTAGATAATTCTACAAGGAAAGTTACGCCAGTTGCAAGTAAACAGCTTCCTTATACCTGTGCGGACAACCCAACCACGTGGTGAGTTGATCTGAACACCAAAGTTTGAGTTTTGGAGATACTTCTAATCCAGATTATCCTTTTTTCTTTAACCTTGCTATGCATTATTGTAAAAATAATTACAACATAGACAACAACACCCAAATAACCAGCAAAGATGATAAAAATAATTTGAACTGTCTCTAGCTTATTCCAATCTAATGCATGATGCTGGAACTATTTTTAATTTTGAAAATGATGGGTCTCGATGGCCATTACTGGGACAAAAACCTGCTGCTTTATCTATAGTTGCAACAGTAGATAATGCTTTTACCTTTTTATCAGAACCATTATCTAGGAATTAAATATTCTCTTGGTAACATTTCTGAAAATATTTATAATCACCTAATTGATTTTGCTCCATTCTATAATCATGCACCGGATGACTCAATTGCTTATGATCTTACCGGCACACAACAGTTATTAACTGATCATTTTAATTTGAATTATCTCAAAGTAGGATCAATCTTTGTTGACTCGATTTCTGGTATGTTATTATATTTTATTTTTTTTAAAAAACAAAATTAATTCTCAAAAATTTTTTTTTTTTTTTAAAATAGATCAACCAACTTTTATTGATAAAAATGGAGCCTCGTTAGAACGAACTGCATATTTAAATGAATTTTACTACAAAGCGCTTTTTGATGCCATTGGTCCACGTAAAATGATTAATATTTTTAAAAATTTTGGTGTAGATAAAGATACTTATTTGACTTTTGTTAATCGAGGATTAACCAATATGATTAATGGAGATATTGATATTTTCACACCTTCTTCTTATTGGATTGCAGCACCTTTTTATATGCCCATCGAATTAGTTAATTGTGGTAGTGCAGATGTTAGGAACTTTGCACAACCTATTCTTAATGCAGCAGTGGCAAGCACCATCCTCAATCATTATGGCTTTACCTATTGCAACCACCTAAATCAAGATCTCTGTGGTAGTTGTTGCTTGGCACAATGTGCTATGGGTACTTGCCAAATTCGTGGTACATATGACTGTGGTCAGTTAATACATTACAACGATTGTGTATTCGGGGTATTAATTATAAACCCGAAGTCTTAGAAAACATTAAGAATTTTGTCAACTATGCTGATTACTGGCACTATGATTACTGTAAAAATAATGAAATCGGTTGGTATAAATTCAGGAGATTGCGTAAATGAATCGACTATCCGATGTACTGGACTTCCAGATGGTTGCGCCTCTTTCGATTGTACTACTCCAGGAGATGAAGGAACGTATGACTGTCCATGTGATAATAGTTGCGGTGTGTGATTTTTTTTTCGCTTTTCTTTGGAAAAAGCATATTATTACACGAAAGAGATAGAATCAGGAATAAAATTCGGAGTTATGAAACTTAGAATGCATAACCTTTCAAAAGCAAATCATAATATGCAGTATAATTCTCAATTAAATTATAATATGTCGGGCATTTCATACTTTTGTTAATATTTTATTTATAACATATAGATTTATATATATAAATGTTCGACTCTAAATTATGATCAAAATGATTTCATTTCATCGAAAATCATTTAATTCGATATTTTTTTTTAAAAAAAAATAAAATAAAAAATATATATTTGTATAAATATTATAACTTTTATTAAATAATTTCGATTTCTCTATTTATTTTTTGTTTTCTTTCTCGTCACGATCTTTCCCGGAAGTATAAAACTTATTATTAAATGAGTCTATACATACACATGCACATTTTCGAATTTCTCAAAAACAAACCCGAAATTAGGGATGTTCATTGTTGTCTTTGACCGACCGTTTAAAATTTAACAGTTTTTGGCTCATTTTACTGAGCCAAATACGATAATATTAGGTTTATATTTTGAAATTATTCTAAAATATTATTTAAATTTATGTGGCGCAGCATTACTTTTTTTTTTTTTTTTTTTTTTAATAATACATTTAATAAAGCTTTAACGTTAATTTATTATTAAAAAAAAATAATTTCTTAATGAAATAATTATTAATTTGATTTGTTAAATACAAATAATTCTTAATTACTAATTAAAATATCTAAGCTCTCTATAACGAATCTCGATTTTTTGGACCTTACTATCGAGAAAATGAAAGAATTCGGTAACGTGATACCGAATTTTATTATAATAATATATGATATGTTGCTATTTTTATTATATCTGGAGGGTAATTTTTTAAATAAGCAAACAGTATACCCCTGTATTTAAACCAATTAATCATTGTTTTGTATCTTGTTAATATCTTGCTGATTCTTTTAAAAAATTATATAATCATAAATTTTGTGTAATTGAAATATTTCAGAGGTCACTCAATATATAATAGGACGATAACGATTTTACAATATAAAAGCAATGAAATAATTCTCGATTTACGAAGTTATATTTTAATTGGAGTAAATTAAGTGAATGTTTGTTAGGAGGAGCTGGCGCCGGTGTTTTTAAAGTTAAAGTTTCATTCTATATGTGAAGAAAAAGATGATGACGTGATGATGGGATTATGACTAATGTGTATAATGTTTTAAAGATTCGATACTCGTATTTCTTTGATGTAGACGTATTTATTACATCATTTGGTAAGTGCTTAAAGCGGAGTTATTTTGGCCGGCGTTACAGCATTAAGAAATTAGTATTTTGTCATCGAAAAAAATTCTAAGTACAGCACTTTATTTATTAAAACCAAAATAATCCAGGGTTGGCCAATAGAATCAATGACCAATAAAATATAGAATATTTTCTTTGTTCTTTTATTCTATTGAAAAACTGCACATGTTTTATTTTATTAATTTATTTTCACATATTTATTTTAATTCGTGATCTGTGTAACAACCGGACAAATTTTAGTACATCAAACCGGGGATATCAAAAATATAGAAAATTTTGTCAAACTAGAATCTGGTTTTTTATTATCCAACTGTTTCTTTAAACACCCTTGTAAACAATGCTTAAACGCAAGTGTTGCAGTAAAAGTTATTCAACAACTCTTCTTACAGCTGGAAAAACTGTTTCAGAAATACATTATGGACCTTTTTCTTATGCATGGTGGATCGCGAGCGAAAGAAATATAAATAACCAAATAAAACTACTAGTTCCAATAAATTTAGGTATGAAAACGCTTACAAAACTCAATGGCCGTAATTTTATTATTACTGTTTTGGAACCTGATATAGGAACTTCGCCTGGTCCAAGATATCAAGCAACTTGTGAATCAAAGCATAGTGAAATATGCTCAAACTCTTCAGTTGCTATTACATCGTTGTACCAAGATTTATTTCGTACAAAAACGAAATTTTCTGGACCGCTTGTTATGGGATTTGACCAACAGGTTATTGTAGAAGAGTTACTAAAAAATATTCAATTTCAACCTTTTGAGATTTCTGTAGAAAGGTTTCGAATAATAGTCTTTGGTGTTGGCATGTCAAAAAATCAAGAATGGAACTATGCTGGTGCTGGGTATCAGTCATCTTTTATTGACAATGTAGGAAAAAAGCAATTTTTATATGTTCAAAATTTTATCGATAAGAAATGTATTCTTACTGTTTATGAAGAAAATGAACGTCAAACAATTGTTTGTGGAAAAAATCCAATAGATGTTTGGTCTAAAATAGATCACAAACCAGAATTCAACGCTAACAAACTGTTTGGTATTGATAATGAATATACACAAGCATTAATTGGCCAACTGCGAATTCCATCATGTACATCAGAAGAATGGAATGACATACTTTTATTACAACAAATCTTTGAATATCATCTCAAGAAAAGAACAAAATCTGATATCAATTGGCTTGGATTTATCAAGAATTGGAAAAATCAACAAAGTGAAATTATTGAATTACGAACTTCTTTGATGCAGGTATATGGATCTAAGTATCAAATAAATTCATGAGAACTTTGTGCCTGAAGGACAATGCTTCGACATATGGGCTGTATAAAAATTACACCCTATAATAAAAATCAATCTGAGGTAAGTAATGAAAATATTTATAAGTACGAATAAATAGTAATAACAAAACAAAAAAATATTTATTTATTTGAACTATATTTACAGTTTGAATTTTGGACAAGATCAATAAATTCAGATAAAGATCATGCGGCATTACAGACTTTGTATGATCTTGGTTTTCTTCACCCTATACCAAATGAATGTTATCAGATTAAGATTTTTTGGAACTGTATTCAAGAATCATTGAATGTAAACAAAAAAGGTCAAGATGGCAAGAGGCGTATTTTATCAATTGTTACAGATCAGTTTTCATATGATGAAATCAAAATAATTTGAATGTTAGTAAATATGTCGGGGACTTTAATCCAGAAGATGGATAATATTCAATTCAAATTATTTTTATTATTAGATTACCTCATCAGATACAATTTATGAAGCACGCCAGTATACAAGACTACATGGTCCAGATGCTGAACGTATTGAAAAACCTATTTTTACTCGTACAACAATTTCTCAAGAAAAGTCTGACCAGTTACAACAATTTTTGGATGATAAAAATAATGTTGTAATGAGTAGCTATAAAACAGAAACTAAAACTGGACTTCCAGTAAAATATCTCAAAAATACGAAAAAAGCTTTATGGGAAAAGTTTAGCATGCAATTTCTGGATTGTATTAAACGAACATCTTTTATGATATTTTTGCAAGGAAAGCAATATATTTATCAAGAAAATCTTGGTGGTCTTTGTTTAATTTGTAGTCGTTATGGATATGAAATTTTTGCAGATATGAAAAAATTTGTTGAAAAAAATATTCAAGACAATAATCTTCAAGTAGGCAATTTACAATTCATATTTATTTATATAATCACAAAGCTTGCTTATTTATTTTTGATTTATTTTATTGTAAATAACTATCCTTTATCATTACCAAGAAAAATTATATCAAAAAACTTGAATATTTGCGTCGTTACTTTAAAAAGTCTTATGAACAAGAACTTGAAATTACTGCAAATGAGACTGTTTCTCATAACGCTTGTATCAGCCACTGTCTTTCATATGCTTTTGGTATTTGTATAGAATCACATGATCGTGAATGTGTTGAATGTGAACAATTATTTGAAATCTTTCGCCAATTAAAAAAAGATACTTCCATTACATTATATAATGAACTAGATGAATACCATGAACACCTTCTATATTATCTTGCATACCAAATGCGCAAAGTGTATTTAAATGCACAGTTTAATGCGAATTTGTTAGAATTAGACGAAAAAGGAGTGCTTATAGTTGTAGATTATAAGATGAAAGTATTACCTAAAAGTGTAAGGAAGATAAAAGATTAATTTTTTGGAAAGAAGGGTTGGACTCTACATTCAGTATTGGTATATACTCGTAAAACAAATTCTCTTGAACTTAATATCCAAGCACATGATCACTGGTCTAATGATTCACATCAAGATGCATGGTTCACAGCATCCAGTCTTCATGCTATTATTGAATCTATGGAAAAAAAACCAGAGTGGATTAGCATTATCTCTGATAACAGAGCTCATTATCATAATGCAGATCTAATGATGATTTTGAGACATTGGCCAGATTGGTATGATATTTGGCCTAAAAAAGTGGATATTTCTTGAGCCCAGAAAAGCGAAGACAACCATTGATAGTCATCATGCTCAGGTCTATTTAAATCTATCTATTTAAATTATATTATAATTTACTACTCACCTCACATTTGAATAGATTGCTTATGATATCAATCGGCATATAAAATTTGGGTTTGATATATCATCAGGAAAAGATATTGAGGATGCAATATCTAGAATTTGTGGAACATCTGTATCTCATCTAGAACCAGATAGAAAGAAAGGTATGTGATATTTTATCAAATTAAAATCAGTCAAATTATTAGTAAATTTTCAAACTGTCTTTCTTACAGAAGTTGGAAAAGCCAAAAATAAATTACCCAGAATTTCAAGTTGGTTTGAATGGTCATGGCCTCTCACTGGCGAATATGCTGGTTGTATTCGGACAAGAGATATTGCAAATCTTAGCACCTGGAAAAACTTTTTTTCCAAAAGATTTAGAGAAATTACAATCAAAAATAATTGGAAAACCAAATCCTAATGTATCAACGCCTTCAATACCTGAGAATACATGGACAATTCCACTGCCAAATGATACAGGTTTTGTGAGTCTACTTTAGCCTGTGATAATCTTCAGATAAACAAGCAACTGATTCAATATAAAATATAGGAACTCAGGTAAAAAAACTAAAAAAAAATCATGTGAAAGAACAACTAAAAACTCATGGAATTGTAAAGGATATGAATACTAATAAAAGAGATTTGGTAAAGAAATTAGAAATAGTATTAGCTGAAGAGACCTTGGCGAAAATATCAGATGCGTAAAAAGTGATTATTTAGGTTTTTGTTTGCGTTTGTAATATTCTGCTCCATTATTAATAACAGATAATGACAAATATCCATCGATCCCATCATCAAGTCATGATCACTACTCAGATAAAAACAAAAGTTCAGTCAAGGTTGGAAACAAGACAATATTGGATTCAAGGTATATATTTTTTGGTTGAAAAATTATAAATAATGACCTGACATCGATCTTGATATTCATAGTTCACAGTTTTCATTGTGGCCATTGTCTTGTGAATGGACGTTGAAATCGGCACAAAAATATGGAAAAAAGGGGGTGATAAGCGTATTTCTAAAAAAGTGTAGAACCTTTTACAAGGATATTTTTTAGAAGGTAACGTTAACAAAAGTGAAAGACATACTGCGGAAAGTATGCTTACTCAGCTAGAGCAAAATGTGAAAAATGGTGTAATTGAAGAAGAAGAAGTTCCGAAATTAGAGACTATACGAAATTGGATATCTCGTTATACAAGTCAACATCACCAAGAAGCAGCAATAGTAGCTCAAATGTCCAAAATATAAATAAATATGAATAAAACGTTGCTTTTTTTAAACTTTGTAATAAATATTTTGTATAATAACGAAAACTGTAAAAAATTTTGATGCTGGAATCCAACTAGCTCACAAGTATATATTATATTTATCTCTTTGAAAGTCTTCAAAAAAATTATTATACATATAATTTAGGTATTTACGTATAAGTGGCTTAATTTGTGTAATGATCAGATCAAATTTGATGACGTTTCATATATTTTGAAAAAAATCGATTTTTTGACTTTATTAAGAAGATCGTCAAATTTTGCTCCTTTTTTATCTAATAGATTTGTCCGGTTATTACATAAAATACAAATTAAACCAATAATAAAAGAACTAAATTCTTTATAAATGAATTTATTCTTCTATAAATAACACAAAATTTATAATTATAAACTAAATACTAAAGAAATTGATCAATAATATATAATGTGTCAGAAAATAAATTAACTAATAACCATTTTATTATAGAATCATTAGCAGATACAAAATTTGTAAGATACTGCTGGTTGATTTTATAAATCTACAACATAATTCGAAAATTATATGTTTCATTTAGTGGGATATCACGCTTTAACTTAATTAAGTTAAAGCGTGGTATTCCACTTAGACTAGGTTATAGTACTACGCTATAATCTAAATACTATGCTATAATCTGAATATCACGTTAAAATCTAAATATCACACTATAATCTAGATGTTACACTTAAATCTAAATATCACACTATAACCTAAATATTACGTTATAATCTAATCACTACAACCTGATCACCACTCTTTAATCTGAATACATAACCTGGTTACCACTCTTTAATCTACCCTTTTTATTTTGATGTTATCTCTGTTCGTATTCTAGTTATATATTTATAACTTTCTTGGTATTTGCATTTTTCTCATATGTATGATTTTGTTATCACGTTATAATCTAAATATCACTCACGCTTTAATCTAATTACCTCTCTTTTCTTCTTGTTTCTACTCCACTTGTAATTTAAGTTATATATTAATGATACTGACCTCCTATGCCTGAATGGATGTCAAATTCTATTTTGAAGGTTGTTGGCCTTCCGTAAGTATTTGAATACCTGGTTGTATGTCGAGGATACTGGCCTTCTGTGCCTGATTTGGTTCTCGGTTCTATATTGTTGTGCTTACCCTTTGCGCCTATTTGGTTGCCCGCCAAAATGCTGAAATATGATAAAAAAATTCTAAGTTATCACGTAGGCGTACTGAGCTTGGTTGCCGGGTTGGTGACCCTCGTGAAATATTTAATAAATATATTTGTTTTATAAATGATCACAAATTGGAGCACTGAATTGAGATGTCCGTTCAGAAGTCTTCACTTTCGTTAGGAAGATACCATATGTCATCATATGTGATAATGAATTTATAAGAAATAAATATAGCACTAGTGTTTTAAGTTAGTATTTGGAACTAGTGACAGAACTAGTGGCACGTTTGTTATCTTTCTTAGGATTATTAGCCTTCTGCCAATATTTTATATAATGATTTTGCAGAAGGTTACCCTAAATATCATCTATTAGAAATATATTTATTCGCGATTCTCTTACCATCCTGCTATATGTATGTCAATTTCACGTCCCAGAACTGGTAATATATTTATGGTCAGTTGGTTAGAGTATTGGTGGTACGATATGTATTATCATGGCCGGCTCATTTGATTGCCAATGTTTTATATAATGATTATGCAGAAGACTCCATGCTATACCGAATACATATCTAGGAAGGATAAGTCTTACGCGAAGGCTATACCATACCTAAGTACATATCATCGAGATGGGGCTTCTGCCAATATTTATATAATAGATTATGCAGAAGCCCCCACTTTCAGTTGCATATTCATTTGCCTTCCTTTTACGATTTGCTTCATTTTATATAAAGTTCTGAAGAAAGATACTCTGGATGACATACCTGAATACATATCTAGAAAAGTGTAGCCTTCTGCCAATATTTATATAATAGATTACGCAGAAGGCTACACTTTTTAGGGTATACCAAGTTGTATTTCTTTTATGATTTGCTGACTAAGTTTGCTATCACTTCTTTATTGCATTCATCGAAAAAAATATAATTAAACATTTTGGAATAATATTAGAGTATATAAAGCTTTTCCTACTATCAACATGTATACCTCAACTATTTCCGACCAAATTGATCACACTAGTACTCTTGCCCGCTATGACGGCACTGAATTTTTAGCTAGCATTCCATCACGTAATGAGATCATAGCAGAATGTGATAACGGGATGACTGCTATACTTTAACAAAGCCTATCCGACAAGCAACCCATACATTTCATGCCTACTGAAGTTAGTGATGATACCAAATATATAAATGGGGTCTCTACTTATATTTTGCGCATTAGTGGTTGCTTGATTAATGGGCAAAAAGCAGTCGTGAATATTACAGACATCCGACCCTTCTTTGATGTCAAAGTTCCTGAAGATATACCACTATCTACGTTTAAGACCAGATTAGTAAATATATTATCCAATACTCTCAAAGGTACATCAAAATTTGGGATCGAGGATATTAGTGCTTTTCCACTTCAGGGCTATTATACAGAAAAGAAAGCATATATTCGTATAAGGACGTGGAACTATTTTGATCAGTGTAATGCCCTAAAAGCAGTTCGTGAAGTCAGCATTCATACAGTCTCAGATGATCTAAACTGCCAGTATTATTACCGCAAAGTAACTCGTGAAGAACGATTACCTCTTTCAAGCTAGGCAACGTTAAGTAATTATTCATATATACTATCAGAATATTCATATCTCTTCCAAGTATCTGTAGATAATTATAACCCAATAAGCGATGACGAGTACAACAATCCACTAATTTCTTCAACACTTACGAAGGATCGAACTCTGGTTCTCACATGGGATATAGAGACATATAGTTCACTTGGACTAGGCAACTTCCCCACTGCACAGAGTGATGAATCCAACGTATTTATGATTTGCATGTCAGTCCATTGGAAAGATGACTCTAATCCACTAAAGCAAATCTGTTTTGTAAATGTTGAAACTACGTCAGACTCGTGTTAGACTACAATTATATGTGAGAATCAAGTAAATCTGTTAAAAGCCTTCGCCTTGTGTTAGAAACTACTAGCCTCAGATATACAAATAGGTTTTAACAATTCACAATATGACTGGAGATTTATTGTAGAGAAAGCGAAAAAGCTAGGGGTTCTCGAATGGATGTACAATCAAATGTCATTAAAGTCTTCAAGCCTTGAAAAAATTTCAAAATGGTAATATCAATATAGCACAATAAAGGTCAATGATAGGGATTTCTATTCGAAGCATCTTAAAATCCCCGGATGCGTAGCTATTAATGTCTAACCATGTTTTATGAAATTCTATCCTAAGGCCAAAAAGAGCAGTTTAGCATATTACCTAAAGAAGTGTAAACTCAATAACAAGCTGGATATGCCTTTCCATCGTATGTTTAAATATTATGGAGAGCATTAAAAGAAACTAATGCTACAACGGCCGAGCAGATGCGTGAAGTAGCCGAATATTATATTATTAATGCTATTAGCTGTCAGCGGTTAATGGTAAAGTGTAATGCAATTAATGAGTACAGGGAGGTGGCATCTATAGCCTTCATATCATTATACGATTCACATTATTTTGCAGTAGGAATGAAAGTGCGTAATCTTTTAAATGCCAGTGCGTAGCAGGAAGGGATTTTAACTAGCACAATTTCATGTGAACAAACAGAAACAGGGAAGTACCCTGGAGCCTATGTTTTCCCACCGGTAAAGGGTCTTGAAAATAGATGACCTGTAACTGGCTTAGACTTTGCATCATTGTATCCAAGCCTTATTATGACATATAATCTCTCACCTGATAAAATCATTTTATCTCGAGAGCGTACTGAATCTCTAAAGGAGAGCGGTAAAAAACTTCATGAAATTAATTTCAAATTCAATGGTCGCGATGTTCTCGCATGGTCTATAGAGCATGAAAACCAAGCTGAGATGAAAGGCCTTTATCCAAAAGTATTAGAGGAGTTGCTTATTAGACGTAATTCACTAAAAAGCCGTCTTGCTCTATTAAAAAATGGAAAAGAAGAATTAGAAAAGGAGATTAGTTTGGCGGAAGCAAGGGGCGAGGACATTACAGATGCTTTAAAATCTGAATACTCTTCAGTTTCCTTTAATGTCGTCTGTCTAGACGCAAAACAACTTGCTTTAAAAGTGTATATGAATACATTGTTAGTGATAATCCATTTGCGCAACTAAATGACTGCGCCAACTAGCGTCACCAATGATTACCAGGAAAATCGTGATCACCATTTTCACCGATTTCACTGCTATCACGGTTATCGTTGTGATATT